GGGGGCAGAGCGGGGGGGGGGGGGGGGGTGGGTGGGCAGCAGCCAGAGCAAAATCATTGCCTGGCCAGTCTGGGTGCTGATCTTAGTTCCCTGCAGCCTCTTGAGCCTTTTCATCTGGCAAAGGGTACAGTGCTTCCATGATGGTCACTGCAGGCTTGGGACCCTGGTGTTCGCCACTTGTCACCTGTTGCCTCTGCCACGATGGAAGGCCACCTCACACCAAGCCACCTCACCTGGGGCTTAGTCACCTCTCAGTCAAAGTCTGTCCACTGGTATGGCTCTGCTGTGCTTTCCTGGCGGCCCCTCCAGCAGATGGCCCCTGCCTGCATGGGTGGCATGGATGAGGCCCGTGATAGCAGAAAGCAGGGCTTACTGTATCGGGATAAAGACATCACAGGCCGTGGGATCGGGTAGCCTTTCCTGGATGCCCTGTGTTCTGTTCCCTCCTTGAACAATGTTGAGCTCATGGCAAAAGTTTCAAGCCCCAGGCCCAGACTTACTGAGCAGATTTCAGGTTCCTTCCTTGCTCTGAGCCTCAGTTTCCATGCCTATTGGATGTGGATAAGGGCCGCCCCCATTTTTTCCCTGGGCCATGTATAATTCATCTTGTCTTCATCTTACCAAAGCACCATCGTTCTCTCTTCTCATGAGGCAGCTCTTACTTGTGTCTCACCACCTGACTCAGTTTCCCTCTGTGGACTACAAATCATATCTACCTCACCATCCTACTCCAAAGGACAATGATCTAATCCCTGTTGTGCCCATGACTAGAGTCTAGCACAGGTCACTCTGTACTTCAACTCTTGTGACGACCTGCTCACAGGGGAGGAAACTGACACACAGCAAGACAGCCACTGAAACACAGCACACATTTGGAAGTCAAGCTCCTGAGCCTGCAACTGTGAACACCACACTATATATAGATGTGTGAACTTAGTGCCTGGCACATAGTAGGTGCACAATTAATGCAGCGATCTCACACAAGTTATGCACGCGTGCAGAGGGAAGGAGGCTGCCTCCAACCTGTGTATTTATTTACACGGCACAAGCTGAGAGCAGGTTGGGGACTTCCCGGTGGCTTCATATTCCTCATGGGCCATGGCGTTTTTTTCCTGTGTCTGGGGTTGTGAATGCCCCTGGGATGAGCACAGAGTAGCCAGGCTGGGAAGACTCGGTCCTCAGATGAACTTGGGGGTAGTCTTATGTCTCCCAGGCCTCTCACCACCATCACCACCACTACCACCTCCACCACTCCAGGCCTGGGCTGGCTTTCTCTTACAGAGTTCCTGTGTGTTGGTGGTCACCAAAACAGTGGGTGGGGGCCAGGAGGCCAGATGATCTGTTGGGAGTATGAGGCAGGGCGTGGAGGTCGTCTCACACAAAGCCCGCTCTGTCTCCCCTAGCAGCTGGTCTGCATTCTTACCCTACTAGAAGCTTCCCACCCACCACCCAGCAGCCCACCTGCTGGACCCCCAGCCATCCCACTCCAGGCAAGGGTGCCCCAGGTGGGGCAAAGCAGAGGCTACAGGGCAGCAGTTCAAAGGGGGAAGCTAGGGAGAGAATAGGGAATGGCCTGGACGTCCTTGGAGTCTGGGTGGGGCTGATGGGCCACAGCCCTGTCTGAGGAGGCGTTAGCAAGATAGATTCCAGGCCACACTCCATGTTTACATAGGAGAAGCGGTATCGAATAAGGGCCTGGGGAGCCCAAGCCTCCCGGCCTGGTGCAACTTTACTCTGACCAGCCTCCTCTAGAGATCTGGCCGGCTCTCTCTGGCCTTCTGAGCTGTGTGGCTTCAGCCTTGACCACTGTGCAGCTGCGTCCAGGCTTAGCTGCTCTGGGCTCAGACCCCCAGAGCCATCAGTGCCCCGGAGCTACTAATCTTCTTGAAGCGATTGGCTGCGCTGACAGCAATGAAGTTTTTCTGGGGGACAAGAGAGGAATCCCAGTCATCACTTCAGTAGAGGAGAACCTTGGGAAGGTCCCTAAGAATCCCCCCCTTTTGGCTTTATCTGCTAAGCCAGAGAGAGGGCTTAGGAGATAAAGAAAGGCCCTTGCAGCCAAGCCTGAGTTCAATTCCTGAGAGCCACACAGTAGGAGAGAATCGACTCTCTAAGTTATCCTCTGACCACCACACATAGGTCACCATATGAGTGTGTCCTCTGTACTCTCTATCATATACACACAATAAATAAATAAATGTTAAATAAAAAATTTTCAAGCCTTTTAAAAGATTCCCCACCTCATTAAAGGAGGGTCAGAGGCCAGGGGAGACACAGTGCCCAAACCCAGCTATAAAAATTGCTGTGACACTATTTGTCCAAGTAAAGAAGACCCCTCCCCCCAATCCCTGAGTCCCTCTACAGCACTGGACCCTTTCACAGGGGTCACCTAAGACCGTCAGAAAACAGATATTTATGTTATGATTCATAACAGTAGCAAAATTGCAGTTATCAAGTAGCAGCAAAAATAATTTTATGGTGGGGGGGGTCACCACAACGTGAGGAGCTGTATCAAAGAGTCACAGTGTTACCACTGCTCTGTAGCCCGTCTCCCGTTCCACTCCAGCCATACAGCCTGCTGCCTGTTGCTCACACTAACCACCCAGGTTCTGCCACGGGGCTTCACACTGGCTGCCCCTCTGCCTGGATCCGGCCCCCCTCCATCTCCTTGAGGCCTTGAGTCACATGTTCCTCCCTCTTCAAAGGTGTAACCCCTCCCAGCCCTGCCAACCCCTCTCCTCCTAAGAACTCCCTACTTTCACTGGGTCCAGTCCACAAGACCCAGATTTCTGCCTCCCGCAGCAGCACGGGAGCATTTAGAAGTAACAGCTGCCCAATAAATATTTGGGAAATGAAGGAGGAGAGGGCTCAGAGGTGCTCTCCGGAGCCTGACCTGAGGATTAATAATCCTCCCTGGCCTGCAGGGTGGGTGAACAGCTCAGGTTCAGAATGGGAGCTAGCCCGGGGCCCAGAGAAAAGCCCATGTTTTCCAGACAAGGCCAGGCCCTGTCAACAGAGACTGCCAAGGCATAGCTGGTAGGGCTGGACCTGGCATCGGACTCTCCCACCTCACAGCCCTCGCCTCCTTCTACCCCAGCTCTGGTACCTTCCAGCGCCTCTTCATGAGGTATTTCTTAAGCAGGATCTGGGACTTCAGACGGCGGTTGCAGCGTTTGGCTTTCTCCGCCAGGTTGTTGAGCCAGGGGTGAGCAAGGCACTGTTCCGCACTCATTCGGGCGCTGTGGAGAGGGCAGCGAGGTGAGGGCAGGCCCGCGCCAGGCCCACTTGGCCCAGACAGGCACTCTGCCCTTGAACGGACAAGGTTCCCAGCAGGGGTGAGCCCTACCTCTGGTCTTTCATGATGAGATGGGAAACAAAATCTTTGGCCTCATCCGACACAGCCTCAAAAGTCTCCTCATCAAAGTACCAGTTGGCAGACAGGACATTGTTTAGGGTCTCTGTGTCATCATCTCCCAGGAAGGGGGAGAGGCCACTCAGCCTAGAGGGAAGGAGAGTGGGGCAAGAGAGTGAGGCAGCAGGGTGGGTCAGAGTCTAGGAGGCGGCGTGTGCTGGAAAGACCCCGGGCTTCCAGAGTGGGACAGACCTGGGTTTGAATCTGGCTGGGTGACTTTGGGCAAGTCACTTCCCCTCTCTGAGCCTCACTCTTCTCATCTGTAAAATGGGCATAATCACCCCAGCTTCCCAGGGTTGCAGTGAAGATGAGGAATGGTGAGTGTGAAACGCACAGTGATGGCACACAAAAAGATGTCCACTGTCCCTCTGTCCCCACGCCAGGACATGGGGGAATCTGCTGTCCAGAGTCTGCCCCAGGATGGAATGCTGTGCTTTTAGGGGACCTTGGTTTTTCCAAGTATAAAATGGGTACAGAGTCTTCTGGTTCTCCCTAGCATTCCCCCAACCCCGCCAAAACAAAAACAAAAACAAAACTGCCCTGGCTCAGGGACCATAACCCCAAAGGCAGTCTTGTCCCCTCCTGCCCATCCCTGTGCCCCTGCTGGCTTCAGTCAGCACTTCTCCTAGGGCTCACAGCATGTAGGTGATCACCCCCAGGCTCCACATGTCAGTCTTGTCAGAGATCTGGTCATAATTCACCACCTCAGGTGACAGGAACTCCGGGGTCCCAAAATTCACCTTCAGCTTTTCATTGGGGTTATACCTGGGAGAGAGATTGAGAGCCTCCGTGCTAGGCCAAAGTCAATTATCTTCACCAAGTGGCCAGTGGTATTCACACACAGGATGTTCTCTGGCTGAGGAGACAGGGATGGCCCAGGTTGACCTCCGACCCAGTTCACCCTCTTTTCCCCACAAGTTCCACCCTGGTCCCTTGCTGGGGCCCCACACCGGGGACTAGATCCTTAGAGGCCCATCAGGCCTGCATGCTCTCAGCCTAAGGAGGCTGCCGTCCTGTGAGGGGCTTGTCTCAAAGCCCCGGACTACCCAGTAGGCCCAGATGGTGGTACTCAGCAACCGTGAGTTAAGTGAACGAACACAGGTACCACCCCTGTTCCGAGGGAGCTGATTAACTTTCCATCTCAATACTCACTGGCGTCAGCCACAGGGACAGGAGACACCTGGCAATTTGTCCTCCCTGTTCCATGCCCTAGGCAGGTGTCTCTAAGCTCCTGGCAGCCACTGGTGCTGATGGGAGTGAGTTTACTGTGTAAAACCTGTCCAGCTATGTGCGAGGAACTCTGTTAGCGTCTGCCTCCTATGCATTGTGACACTGGCAGTGCCAGTCACAAGCCAGCACAGAGGTGCATCGCCAGCAGCTGGGATTCATCACATCAGGCAGTGAGCTCCATGGTGCCTCCCCCCACCCCACCCCTGCCTCTCTATCCCTGGCAGTCAGGGTCCACTTTGAATAAGCTGGAAGGAGGGATGGGGAAGGAGGAACGGGAGGAGCTGGAGAGCCGAGTGGGGACAACAGTGACACCATGTGGCCAGTGCTGTTCCAGGAGGCCGCAGCCCGCTACCTTGAGGTCCAGGTGCAGGACTCTCATCTTGTGCATGAAGAGGATCCCATCACAGATCTGCCTGACGAACAGCATGGTATCCACCTCAGTCAGATGGTAGTCCTCATCCACGATCCTCTCAAAGAGCTCGCCGCCCTCGATGCTGTGTGCACAGACCCCTTGCAGACTGGCTGCGGGCTGCCGGCCCTGCCACCCAGCCCCGGCTCCCACAGCGGGCACTCACTATTCCATGAACAGGATGATCTCATGTGAGGTCTCGATGGCCGAGTACAGCTGGATCAGGTTGCGGTGGTTCAGCTGGTTCATGACCTCAATCTCCAACAATACCATTTCCTGGGAAGCAGGAGAGTCAAGGGGACTCACTAGGCACCAACATCCCCACCCTCCCACCTCCTCCCTTCTGGTTTCCTTGTCTCCATCACTCTCTCCCTGTAACCTCACCCTACATCAAATCCAAAACTACGTTGTATCCAGGTGCAATCAGTTTCCAAAGCCACGTGTGGTGGGACATGCTTGTAATCCCAGAATTCAGGAGGCAGAGGCAGGAGGGTCGGGAGAGTTCAAGACCAGCCTGGATCACACAGTAAGACCCTGTTCAGCCCTCCCACCCCTAAAATGGGATTGATTGTCAACTACATAGCGCTGCCTCTGAACACTGCCTTCATCTCCAGACTCTAATCTATCCAGCGACCATCTTTGACATTTCCCTTGGAGATCTAAGAAAGCCCCAGATTTACCATGTGCCAAGTCCTTGATACCAACTCTTCTCCATGATTGACTTGCCAGCAGCCACCAGAAAAAAAGACAGGATCTTCACCCAAACACTGGGGACAAAGAGCTAGGGGCTATGATCTCTGCATGTCCACCCATAGCCCATCATTAAGGCCTTTGGCACAGTTCCACCTAAAACTACATTAGAAACTCAGCTCAGCCATCCCTCATCCCCTCTTTCTACTCTAAACAACTGTCACTTGTAACTTTCAGGCCAGCCGTCATATTGCTAGGCTGATATAGGCTGTGGCAGGGATAAAATTGGCACGTGCTACTCATCAAGCCTCTCCATGCACCTGCATCCCCAGGGCAGCCGTTACGCTCTAGGCACGGGTGCAAAACTACTGTCCAGCTTTACCTCTTTTCCCTTCGTTCCACCCCTTCGTCCAGCTCTTCCTTCTCCGCCTACCACTTCCCCAGAGAGGCCCCCATCTAACAAGATCCCTCTGATCAAGCCCCCAACCCCTGGCACCGTCCTGGTTCTCTTTTTCTTTCTGCACCTCTCAACACCTGGTGTCATGCTCTTCATTTTGTTCCAGCTTTTAGTCATCTATCTGGCCCTATTCTCTGATGTGCTGGTCCCATGAGGTTGGGGACTTTTTCAGTCCTGTGACATATCTCTGGCACCTGGTACAGTGGAAGGCAGAGAAAAAAAAATGTTCCATGATCAATTAACCAACAGCCAGCACCAATTAATTCACACAGCGCATGGGCACTGAGCACTAGTGCTGAACCAGACCCTGTGATAAGAGGCCAGTGAAGATGAGTCAAAAGTACAGATCCGAGGCTGGGGGCTTGTGGCTCAGTTGGCAGAGTGCCTGCCTAGCATGCATGAGGCCCTGGGTTCAGTCCCCAGAACCACATTGTGGCAAATGCCTGCAATCCCAGCACTCAGAAAAGTAGAAGGAGGGGGACTAGGAGTTCAGGGTCAGCCTCTGCTCCAAAGTGAGTTCAAGGTCACTCTGGGATATTTGAGCCCCCATCTCAAACAAATAAATTTATAAGTTAAAGTTCCACACACCAGAGCATGATAGAGCCACACGGAAAACTTGGTCCTCTCCACTATGCTCCTAGCAAAGGGAATCAGTGCTCTGGAGCACTGTGGCTCTGCTCCCATGGTCTTGGTGGGCCCCAGCCTTTGCCTACAACACTCGGTAACCTCAGCTCCTGCTATCTCTGGCCCTGGGGACCCTCCTCCCTTCTTTTTCCTCCCTTCTTCCATCTCTGTGATGCTAGAGTGAACCCAGAATGCCAGGAAATTGCTCTACTTGAGTCTCATTTTCACAGCCTGAAAGTCTCCCCCTGACCTGCCGATGAAACACTTCTGCCTGCAAAGCCTTCACTCTGTAGAAGCTGCTCCAAGAAGCATCATTGAGCCGGGATTGAGGCAGGAACCTCCCTTATTGCTCCTCACGCCCTCCCCTCCCCACAGCTTCCTGGAGACACAGCTCTGTTGGCACCTGTTGCCAGGCAAACCTCAAGTCACCCACTGGCCCTCAATCCATGTGAACCCGCACATAGCTGCTCGCTTCTGGGACCAGATGTTTAGAGCTGTAAGTGCAGACCATACTGGCAGTGGGTGGAGTAACTCTCCACTGAGCTTTCTTTCCTTGACACAGGCTTCCTGGGGGCAGGGGCCACCTCTGTTGCACTTTGGTATCCTCAGTGCTGTCCCAGAGCCTAAACCAACACCTATGCTCCCCAGGCCTGCTGAGCTTCACAGAGGGCCCAGGAGGGAGAGTCCCTGAGAAATGCAGTGTCTGGTTTATGGCCAGGAGCGCCCGTAAGGGCTGTATCTCTTAACGCCACAAGCTTTTCACATCAGGGCCCCAGCCTAGCACTGTGGGTAGCTGTAGATAAGAGGTGGCCTCTCCAAGAAAATCTCCTTGCAGTAGGGCCCACATTCCCCCGTTACCTTGTCCTTGGGAGTCTGTTTCTTGATGACCTTGGCTGCCAGCTTAAGGCCTGTGGCTTTCTCAGTGCAGGTGCACACGGCTCCAAACTTACCACTGGAAAGAGAAAAAAAAAAAAAAATGGAGTGAGGGTACTTCCAAGACCCACAGCAAGGACCTGTGCTCCATCCTCCTCTTGGCCCAGGCCTGATGGAGGCTCTGGCTGGGAAAGATGGGAGCATTCACCCCACCAGCCCTAACTCCCTCCTCAAGTGGAGGAACTTCTACCAAGATGAGGCTGAGAGCATGGGGCGTGGCGGAACAAACTGCATTTCCTATGGAAATGGCCAAAGGCACATCCAGGAAAGCGGCCACACTCCCCACACCTCAGGATGTGATGGGTAGCACGTGTGACCACACAGAAGCGGGTGCATGTGCGTGGGCCATGTCCTAGCAGCTGTGTCTGGGCCACTGGAGCTGGTTACTCCCCCATGCATGGTTCAGACTTGGGTCCCTGTCTCACCCTCCCAGCGCCTCCTTTGAGTTCATGCTGAATTCACTGTTGACATTTCCGGTTCTCAGCTCCACGATCCTGTGTGGGAAGGGGGCCGGGGGTGGCGGGCAATCATCTAAGGAGACAGAGTTGAGCTGTTAGAGCCAGGGGTGGGAGGGACTTCTGGGGAATGTCTTTGACACCACTGCCTCCTGCCTCCTGATCTGCCCCTACTTCCCTTCCAAAAGTTGAGTTTACCAAGTGATTCCTGGGGTCACCTGGCCAGAACGGGGTCCAGTTTCCAATTCTAGTTCTGCTGCGTACACCCCAAATCTGTCTCCATCAGGGGGAATTTAGGTTCTCTGCAGAACCATGAGACAACTAGCTGACTACACTTAGATACAAACTCTAAGGTGGGGGAGGGCTGTTTCCATTAAACGCCCCCCCCAAACACCCAAACAAGCCCCACAGCAGCTGTGAAGTGGAATCCCAGACAGTGGCACTGCTGTGCCTGGGTGTGGGTGGAGACACTTGCCCGCCACCTGATTACACCACGGTGGGGCGCCTAGGGACGCAGCAATTCGGTGGTGACATGCTGCCACCTAGTGGGCATCATGGAGACAGCCGACTTCGAAGCCCAGCAGGCTGACTCATCGGAATGGAAACCTTTAAAAATAGTCAGAGCCGGCAGGGAAGCCACTCTGGTAATAAATCAGACAGCCCTTGGAGGTGGTTCAGGTCCTGTCATGCCAAGGATGTGATCTCTGGGCGGGGCGGAGGTCTCTGTCGCCGCGGGGGCAGGAGGCAGGGCCCCTGGCCACTGCCCAGCCGCCAGGTCCTCCCACCCTGTCTGGGTGGCACTCTGCCGTGAGCCAGCAGACTGGCTGATCTCCCAGGGCACCTCAGTCTGGAGGAGGGGGTGTCAGGACACTCTGGGCTCTCCTGACCCTATGTCACCCCACCCCCCAGCCCGATGGCACCCCTGCTGAGACCCCTTCCCTCTTCCTGCTGCTCAAGTTGACTCTCCAGTCACCCAGGGCTTTCTCTGAGTACTTGCGGAAAGCTGCCCCAGCTTCCCTGGCCACCGGTCCTACACACAAACACCTGTGCAGCTCTTGAAACCGCTATGGCTCCCTGACACCCTGCCCTCCACCATTTCACTACCCAGCACCTGGGATTGGCACCTGTCCTCAGACAGAGCAAAAAATCCACTTCTCCGCTCATCTGTGTAATTTTCTTTTTTTTTAAACTCATGTTAGCCGAAGTAGAAGAAAATCAAAAGTGGGTTTTTGAGCTGGACAGTCTTCACCATCTGTCTTTGGACATTTAGCTTCCCTTTTCCATCTCTATCAGAAAGAAACACTACCTCATGCCCTGTGACATTTGAACCAGGGAACCAGGAGGCCTGGATCAGGGTAGTCCAGCCCCCTGCATAAGGAAAGATACCTGGGACTATTCCATCCTTTCCCTCCCCCATCCCCAGGACACTCCAGGCCCAGCCTGCCCCTACCTACCCAGAATTTGGAAGCAGTCTTCCTCCCTGGCAGTGAGACAGAGGGCCTGCCCCACCTCCGCTCTCTCTGAGGGAACAGCCTGGAACTCGATCCTCTGGGAGGTGTCCCCTTGCACCTTAGCCTGGCCAGCCTGGCCTGGGGCTTTCTCTGCCTCTGCCTTCTGGTTCTCTTCCAGGGTGTTGGTCCCGCCTTCTGCCTTGGCTGGCCCAGGATCTCTGGAGTCAGGGGTCACAGGTACCCCCGTAAAGATGAGTTCTGTTGTCTCGCTTAGGGGCTTCCCAGCCGGTGTTTTCTCAGAGCTAAAAAGTGAGACACCTCATACAGGTTAGAGGCTTCCAGACCTCACTTGCCATCTGGAGCTAAGACAACCTTGTCCTCCACCACCCCACCTACCTATACCTCATCCACGTCAAAGACCAGCTCTCAACACAGGAAGAATCATTGACGGGATCTGCCTGCCATAATGTGGCTAACCCTACCGGCCAACAGGAAGCCCTAAGGCTCCTGATTCATAAAAACCGTTGCATGTAACTGCCATTAATGTGTTACTATCAGACTGGTGCGAGAAGTATCACTTTTGTGTCTACTGTTCGCCAGTGTCCAGTTGTGCAGAACTGTTTGCATCTGCTTATGAATGAACTGTTAGTCTCCTTTTCATATTAAATTAAGAAGGGCTACTCTCTCTCTCCACTTGTGAAACAAGCTGGGAATTAGAGGAAAAAAGCATAGAGAAAACAAAACAAAACAAAACAAAAAGCCATGTAGCCTGGGTGGCTTTTGGTGACATCTCCTGTCTGACATTCTGTTCTCTCAACAAAGGTAATTTCCTGGTTTCTTCCGGGACAGGATGATAGAAGGGGGGCTGGGACAGAACTGTCTTCCCAGTGCTAGCTGTGATAATGCCCTGTACTCAAGCCAGGAAAAGGGAGCTACCTGCCATCTCCCTCCCCAAACAGGGACATTCACCATGAGATGATGGCAGGGCAGCTAGGGCTGTGGAGGAAGGCAGGTGAGCCTCTTCTTCCTGCTTCTCGACACTCTGCTGCCTTCTTGCCTGCCTTGGACTCTCCAGGTCCCTGGTTGCCCGAGGGTGCTGGCTTGGCATCCGGATTCTGGACGCTGGCCTCGGCTGTGGCAGTGGGCTGGGGCAAGGCTGCAGGAGGCCCCACACTGCCTTCAGCAGGCCCCCCACCCCTGTCCCCCTCTCCTGAAGGACCCTGGCTGCTGCCTGAAGCTGGAGCCGGGTCATCCTTTTTCTCTGAGGCAGGGGCTTTGGCATCTTTCTTCAGGGAGGGTGGATCTGGACCTTTCTTTGGGTCTGGAGTACCAGGGTCTTTCTTCGTGTTAGAGGAACCCAGGTCCTTCTTTGTGTTAGGGGGAGCCGGGTCTTTCTTTGTGTTAGAGGGGACCAGGTCTTTCTTTGTGTTAGGGGGTCCCAGGTCCTTCTTTGTGTTAGGGGGACCCAGGTCTTTTTTTGTGTTAGGGGGGTCCAGGTCTTTCTCTGTGCCAGGGTCTTTCTTGGTATTAGGGGGGGCCAGGTCTTTCTCTGTGCCAGGGTCTTTCTTGGTATTAGGGGGACCCAGGTCTTTCTCTGTACCAGGGTCTTTCTTGGTATTAAGGGGACCCAGGTCTTTCTCTGTGCCAGGGTCTTTCTTGGTATTAGGGGGGCCCAGGTCTTTCTCCGTGCCTGGGTCTTTCTTGGTATTAGGGGGGGCCAGGTCTTTCTCTGTGCCAGGGTCTTTCTTATTAGGGGGGCCCAGGTCTTTCTCTGTGCCAGGGTCTTTCTTGGTATTAGGGGGGCCCAGGTCTTTCTCTGTGCCAGGGTCTTTCTTGGTATTAGGGGGGCCCAGGTCTTTCTCTGTTGCTGGGGGGCTGGGGTCTTTCTCTGAAGCTGGAGGTCCATCACCTGCAGCACCTTTAGGTGTCTGTTCTGCAAAGGAGGGGAACATCCATCAACATCCCCTCCTTTTGTTCCCTATCAAGCCAAACAGAGACCCTCCCTGGGTCCCTACCCAGGAACAACCTGTCAATTCCTGTCCCACAAGTCTCTGGAGCCGCTTGGTAGCAGATTTGTCAGGAACCTGGGCGCTCTGAGCCAGCCTCTCCCCTCTGGGTGGCTTTGCTGGCCTCCCACCACTCCTTGCCTGCTAACGCTGACGTGAATCCCCAATGGCCCCTGATAGAGAATTCCCATCTCCCCCGTCCCTCCAGCAAGGGCTTCATGCCGGCCCTGGACCCAGTCCAACTCCACCCACAGATTATCCCCGGTCCCAAATCCTTCATGCACCATGCAAAAAAGCCTTGGGCACAGACTTCCCTGTGAGGAACCTGCCCAACCCTGACTTCAAAAACATCCCTTCTGAAGCTCCTCCCTCTGTCTCCTGCCCCGGCTTGGCACCTGCTGACAGGCTCTGGATTCCCAGCTCAACTGCTCCGTTTTCTGTAGCCATGAGGTAGGTAGGCGTGTGCTTCTGCTTGTCTAACTCAAGTTTTTCTAGCTGCAGAAAGAGGAGTGAAGTGTACCAGGCTGTCAGATGCCCCCCTCTTTTCCAGCTTTGTAGAGAGAAGGCCAAGGCCAGGCAACTGGGAGGAGAGATGTACCTGTATAGAGAGGACAACCTGGTGGCCGGCAGTCTGCAGCGGCTGCTCAGGCGCAATCCTGGGGTGGTTGTAAGGGATTGGGCCCGGTGGGCAGAGGCGGAGGCAAGGGCGTGGGCAGTGGAGGTGGAGACTAAGAGGAGGATCTTTGACACCAGGGGCCATGGAGTGCGGGTTGCCACCACCTGTCACTCTTGGCCCCTGTTCAGAGGACACGGCATTCTTCCCACGGCCTGACATGGGGTAGAATAGCGCTGGAACCATCAGGAAGAAAAAAGGAGGGGGTACCTGGGCTCTGGGGAGCAGGCTGTGGCCAGAATAAAGGAAGGGGCTACAAGAAGAGGGGCCCTTGGCGGGACTGAAGGCGCAGGGCTCTGCCTACCTCCATGCTGCACCTCTCAGGGTTCCCAGGAGCTTGGGGAGAGTCACCGTGGCCTCAGGGCCCAGCTCTGTGCCCCTGGTATCCGGATCTACTCAGACCATCTCTGGGTAAGAAATCATGCCAGGGTCACTTGCCTAATTGTCCATAGGTCCATTTTTCCCCCCCTGGGGAAACTTCCTTTTCCCTAGTTCTTTGGGGCCATGGAGGCTTGGCTGAGATGCACAGGGAAGTCAGTGGAAATATAAGATGCCCCCCCCAGAAGGGGTTGATGGGAAGTTTCTTCAGGGATGGGGACCCAAGCTCAAGGCGTTCAGACTGAGATGGCACAGGGAGAACCATACTGTAGGGTCCTCTCCCGCGGCCCAGAGGCTGTCAGCCACACTTTTCTGGGAGGGGCCATGAGCACTGGCCAAGGCTCAGTGATGAAGTGGCTGTAGGATAGGTGTCTGGGTCCAGATCCCAACTGAGGCAAACCTTTTGGTGGTTCACCATGTGTAGCCCTGGCCACTGCCCTGTAGAGGAAGGTTGGAGGCTGCCAGGAACTCAGTACCTCTCTGAGGTGGGGGAATGCGTAGTTGTGAAATGGATCAGGCAGCTGCTAAGGGGCAGATAATGAAGTCACTTCCAAAGGAAGGGAAAATCAGGTGCGAAAGAGCATAGAGGGTCTGTAACTGGTGCAAACTTCTTTGGCAGGGTAACAAGAAATCCATAACTTGGGTGGAAGGGGGCCATCAAGGCTTCTTCCCGTTTTTTTGTTTGTTTGTTTGTTTGTTTGTTTTTGTTTTTGTTTTGTTGTTTGTTGTTTGTTTTTTGTTTTTTAGACAGGGTCTTGCTATGTGGTTCAGGCCCAGATCCTCCTGCCTCAGCCTCCAGAGTGCTGAGATGACAGACACAAAAGTGTCCCTGGCATCTTCAGACTGTTACTGTTTTCCTGGAGCTTGAGAATGTATTGAATTTTAAAATGCATGATTTCTTTGAAAGCAGGTAAACACGGAGGGCATTTGACACAAAATAACAGAAGCTAGCGCTGGAGCACCCCTTGACTCGGCCTCCTCTCTGGGCTGCTCCTGTTCACGGTTTCTCTTCTTCAAGGTTCAGCAGACAACATGCCCCTCTTAGAAAGCAAAAATAATCAATGTCTGAGTAGCTCTTCCCCATGAGGGGCTGGGCTGGATAAGAACCTAACCCCACCTAAGATAAGGAAGGGAGTCTCAGCCACCACGCGCCTCCTATTACTCATCGTCATGGTGGTAACTGTGGGCCACACTCACCCCCATTTTCTGGATGAAGGCAATGAGGGCTAACGGAATGAGTGACTTGCCTAAAGCTCTCAGCAGGGTTAGAAGGTAGAGATAAAGGTTAGTAGAATGCTTTGTACATGTCTTCACTCTCTTCTGCCATGTACATTCCACAGCACTCAGAAGATTGAGTCTTCTGCCATCGTTAGTGATGGGGACACTGCTGGCCCTCTGTTTGGCTATCTCCCTAGCATGGTTTGGCTTGCCTTGAAATATTGGATATCTCCACCCCCAATGCTCCTTGGTGCCCTGCAGGCTACTCTCATGGTGAGCTCACAGCCTACGCATGGCTACATGGTACTTGTGTGTGTCCCCAGCATCACACACATGCCTGCCATAATAGCCAGTGACTGACTAGCAAGGCTGGCTGTTTGGATTGCTTTGCTAGGGTGGTCCTTGATGACATCTCCTGGTTAGTTCTGTGGCCACCTGTCAGACACTGAGCAAGGTCCCACTAAGGGCCAGGTCTGATGATGCCAAGAGTTTTCTTTTTTGCCCAGTTCCCACACAAGAGTCTTTAGAGTTTGGTGTTTCACTTATTAAAGATGCAGAGATGGATGCTGGGGGGGGGGGCGTTAAACAGCTCATCCCAAAGCCCATGAGCCCCAGTGAGTAGCTTCAGAACTGTCAGATTTAAACTCAAAGCCACCCTCTCATCACAACAGGCTTTTACTTACTCTAATCTGTTGTTCTTGTTAGGATTCCAAAAAAAAAAAAAAAAAGCAGGCTGAGGAAGCAGTGACTAGAGGGCTTCCATGGCCTCAGCTTCAGTTCCTGCCTCCAAGTTCCAGCTGTTTTGCAGGAACTCTTGCAAAAGCTGATCAGTTGCTCTAGAAGCACTGGGGCTGGTGGGGGCAGAGGTTGATGGCAGGGTGTCTTCTTCAGTTGCTCCACCTGATCTGTTGTTTGTTTGTCTTTGTCAAGTTGATGCAAGCTAGGGTCACCTTAGAAGAGGGAACCTCGATTGAGAAAATGCCTCCCTAAGATTCACCTGTAAGGCATTTTCTTGATGGCTGTGGAAGAGCACAGCCCACTGTGGACAGAGTTATCCCTGGGCAAGAAGTCCTGGGTTGTACAAGAAAGCAGGCTGAGCCGGGCAGGCATTGGTGGCCTACACCTTTAATCCCAGAACTCGGGAGGCAGAGGCAGGCAGATCTCTGCAAGTTCGAAGCCAGCCTGGTTTACAGAGCAAGTGCCAGGACAGGCTCCAAAGCTACACAGAG